TGATGACATACAGATTTGTAGTATTTTTTACTCAAAAGAGATGAGCTTAATGCTGACAGTACATTTTTTTCTGAAACTCTTGAAAACACACAGGGAGGGAAGTGCAGAATCTTACAGATACTTTTGTGATAAATAACTTATGATTCACTACAGCCTTCCAGTACCAAAAGTTAAAGATACTGTCATGTAACTTCACTCTGAATTAAATAAAGCCTTTTAAAAACACTGCTCTGACAAAATTATTGTCTATGAAAATGAAAGTCTAAATAAATTAAATAAATAAAAATAAAACTAACAAGGGTAAGCTATTTAATAAAATAAGCAGGACAAGAGTAAGGTCTCAACTTTAAGAAAAATATCTCACAATCTGAAAGTTAATCAGGGATAAAATCTGTAGGCCCCTTTGTGGGAAAAAAAAACCCACAAGAACTAAAACACAACAAAACCCTCCCAGTTGTCATTCCAATTCCCCATTAAATAATTTTGTAATTCTTCTCCTAAAGTAGATGATCCCTAGCAAGGCCACTTTCAATTCAATCATCTTGCTCCTCTCTGCACTAGAAGCAGTCCAAGAACTGTATTTAAAACACTGCTATAATTTTGTTCTTTGTCACAGATAAAAGCATTTTGCAGACTGTATTCACAGTCTGCTTCCAGAAGAACCAGTCTGAGTTCTGAAGGAAACCTCAATCCTTCCTTATCAGCTTATTCATTCAGCTTCCCAGTGGCTTGAACACATACAAACCTGTATATCAACTACACACATCAACCTAATAAATAAGGTGTAGACTATTAGAAGGCTGGAGAAGAACTGGTAACCACTTTCTTTGTGAGGACATTTCCATAGAAATGAACTACAGGTAAGAGAATCTAATATATGTTGAATTAAATTCTGGAAAACAACTTCAATGCACTGTAAGCACAAAACACTGCCCTTTAAATTGCTTTAAAAAACGCTCAGCATGTTACAAGAAAGCAATCTAGATTTAAGAAAAGGCAGATATAGAATGTATATTGGCTTCTAAGTAGTAAGGACTGATCACCATTCTGTTCCTGAGAAATGGTGGCTGCACTTCAGAGATATTTGGTGCTAGAGCAGGTAACTAAAAATCAGACATGCAGGCTGTGCACAGAAAAAACATGAGAGAAAATGCACGGGATGTAAAGAGAGCAGCAGAGGAAATGGACAGTCAAACTAAGATGTGAGCTGTAACAAACTCAGAAATAAGGAACAAGCTCCTCTCAGTTTTCTACACCAGAAGTTCTGAGTATAGCAACCAAGAACTGAACTGAAAAATAAGTTTATTTATACTGATATATTCTTTTAGACCTCAGTGAGTTTACTACTACTGGCTTCTGAGAGCCTCAAATACTCTTCCACATGGATTCTCTCAACTGAACAGCAAAAAAGAGACTCTTACATCTAAAAATAGTCAACCTTCACATTTTCTTATTTTTGATTTTTGGTATCTCTGTGCTATGATTCTGTGTAGTAGAATCTGTCAACATGCAAAATATCCAACATTAATCCAGCAGATCACGCGGCCACTTGAGCAGTGACAAGGTGTCAATATACTTCATTAATATGGCTGAATTACAACACTACAGAGATTGATGATACACAATATGCAAGACCATGAATACTAATACATAAATCCAATAGAATTTAGCCTAGATTAGATTTGCTAGCTGTCAGGCATCGTTACATTGCATTAATTTTCCTTGCTATTATCAAACCACTGCAGAGATGCAGCGAGACACAAAAATCACTTGAGATGTCTGTGTTTACATATGCTGTGAGTATTGAGCAGCCTTATGGAAGGAATACCATACCTGATAAAAGTTTGTCTTATGAGCTACTGGCTTCTCCATCATATGCCACATATGCTCAAAATAATACCAACTGCTAACACATCAGCCTAGAGAAGCGTTTCAGCTTGTTTATGTTACTCTGGTAAGGAGATACCATTATTGTAAGACAACAGTATGTATTCTTCTAAATTAATTGTTCAGAAAACAGTCCCTTTAAAACATAGTCAGAGCTCAGCTGTCTCACAGATTAAAGAAATCAGAACTTGTTTTTAAAATTGTATCAAAATTAGTTTTAAATCATCCCTTTCTAGCACAGTAATACTATGCCTAAATTTTCTCCCTATGTTGTATTGCAACTATATTGGCCCAGATTACACATTCCTACCAACACCACAGGATCATCTAGGTTGGAAGGACCCTCTGGAGGTAATTTATTACAAACTCTTGCTCCAAGCAGGTCAAAATAGACCTGTCAGTTCGGAGGTCTCATGCAACCCACTTCTGAGCATCTCTGAGGATGTTCTCCACGAATACTCTGTGCAGTCAGGTGCAGATTTTTCTTTTCTTGTCTCTAATTAGCATTTCTTCATGTTGCAATTTATCCACATGGCCTTTTGTCATTTCACTGTGTGCCCAAATCAAGAGTTTGGCTCCATCTGTTCTATATCCTTTTATGAAGTAATTGAAGACAGCACCAAATCTCATCTCAGCTTCTCTTATTAAGGCTTGACCAACTCAGCCCATCTCTGCTGGGCTCCTGCCAGCACATCATTGCTTTTCTTGTACTGGAGAAGCCACACTGCACACAGTGCTCCAGGAGTGGCCCCACAGGGGATGAACAGAGGGAACAATCACTTGCTTTGCCTTGCTGGCTGCACCTCTGCAATGCTCTGCTCTGCAGTTGGCTGCCTTTGCCACAAGAGTACACTGCTGACAAATAAAAATGAAGTTCTTACCCATCAACACATCAACCTATAGGGGTATTTACGTAAAAGCACTCAAGAACAAAGCCTTTTGAGATTTTATCTGAATGTGTGGAAGCATATTAGGACCTTTAGCTCTAAGCACTCTAGATATACGTGAATTAATGGAAGGAATTTTCATCAGCTCCCTCACATGCAGAATGTCCTGTTCTCCCACTCCTGTACCTCAAAGAAAGACTGTAGGTGGAGAGTTATGCAAAAATAACCTTCAAGAGCAAATTGAACTTGCAGAGGTCAACATTCAAAAGAGTATCTCCAAGGGTTAATCTTATCACTTCATTACAGCTCACACCTTAACACAGTTTACAAACACAGCTTCCTCACAGGTATATTTACTTTATACTAATACCACCATGGTGGCTGCCCACCAACATGCTTAAAGAATGCCAGGTCAGAAATAAACAAACAAACAAACAAAACCTTTAAACCCGTACTAGAACCTAGATAGAGTAGAGGTGCAAAAAACCACCCAACTAAAAAACAAGCCAAATGAAAAACAGAGGAAAAACAAAGAGTACAGAAGATGGAAAGGGTTTGTGAAAAATTCACATTCTTACTTTGAAGTAGGAACTTGTTCCACACTCACTTATACATCTATGTGTCTTTGTCTTAATATAACAAATCTAAGGCATAACAATTCAAAACCTTTAAGAAAAACAACCCCAAAACAAAGAAACCCAAACAACAATCCAAAACCACACAACAAAGCACCACTAAATCCAGAAAATGCTTATGATTGTACCTCAATGATCTGCTACCTTGAATTAAAATTACAACAGTACAACAAAAGTGGAATTGGAAAAACTCCAGACTTCTTAATACACTCCCAAGCCTATTCTTTAGACCCAGGTAGAAATTGCAAACCATCCACATTTATCCTTTTTTCAGTTAATCTATTATTACTGTCGGCTTTTCTTTTCCTCCCGATGAGTCCCTTCTCTTTTGCCTATGACTTTTCCCTTTCAGAAATTCTTCATGGCCCCAAAATATTGAATTTTACTGTCATGGATCCAGAAAGGCAATATTCCACCAAAGGCAGAAATGTGTCCTATCATTAGCAGTTCAAATGAGATTTAGACAAAAAAGAATATGGACACAACTTATTTAAAAGGTATCAAATAATTTTAATAAACATTCAGTAGCTCAGAATGCAATGGTTTGGTGTAACTTTCCAAAACCATGATGGAGCTAATCAGAAGCTGAATATTGTGGAAAATGTGGTTTATATTTTGTTGTAGGGCTCAAAAAAAGAAACAGCAAGGATATTATTAAATGAAAATATCTGGCAAGATCTGTGATTTACCTTGTAAATCAAACCAGCCATTAGGGCTCAAGATACTGTTTGTTGTGAATACCAACAGAAGTCATTGACCCTTTTTGCTGAAGTTGGGTTCACAACGATTTCAGTGGCATCAGTGGAACTCCCCAAAAACGTTACTGTACAAAAGAATATGATTTCTAGAAAAAATATACAGGACACAAAGAACAGAGCAAGTGTCACTGAGTTGGCAACGCTCTTCTCCATGCAGGGTTAAAGAAGAACTTTATGCACACACAAGTTGTGTATTCAACTTGTAAAACTTGTTTTATAATTGTTTTACCCTAAAATAGGAAACATTCGAGAGTTACAGCCTTGTGTTTACACTGCAGCAGTTCCTGTAATCCTGACTACATGAAAAAAATATTTTCGGGTAATTTTGCACTTTCATAGCAAGTCTTCCCCCATTTATAGCAAATTATTTGCACTGTAGCAGGTCTGCAGCACTGCCTGTAATTCTGACTACATGAAAAAATAGTTTTATATAATTTTGCACTTTAATAGCATGTCTTCACCCATTTATAGCAAATGACTTGCTAAATCTAGACTAGCGAAAACAAAACCCATGTGCTCTTACTTTCATTCCTTGTATGCTTTTTTAACTCAGAACTACTCTTTTCTTTACAAAATTCACATTCTTAAGACAAAAAAATCCAAACAGAAATTGCTTAGAACTATCTTTCTAATATTTAGGATCATCACTGAAAATATGTATTAGGAACTACTAAAGATTAGAAATGCAAGCACTAAGCTAATTTTGAGATATACAGCCTTGCTTTAAAACTTCTAGAAAGCACAAAACAGAAAGTATCATAAAGAGAGCAAACACAGGCTGACAAATCAAAAAAACCTGTCTGCTGGGAGTTTGCTTAATTATTAATTCTTACCTTCTGTGCTTAATCCAGGACTTGAAGTGAATTTTGCTACATCGACGATCTTCACAGCGAACTGCTGCCCCGTCTCCCGGTTGATGCATCGCCGCACGACGCTGAACGGACCCCTGCAACAGAGAAACCAGCCATGAACAACCATCCTCCTCCTCCTCACTGTGCCACAATGCCCTTCCCAACAAAGCTTTGATTCGTGCATTCAAGTGTAGTATTTACACAGAATATACCTCTTGTCCTGGCTGCCCATTAAATGTAAAATTAATGGTTCTGACTATAGACAGGTGTAAAGAATATCACTGAGTTCTGTATTTTCCTATATTAAAGACATATTCTCTAAACCTGCCCCTTTAGAAAGGCTATACTCTTAGAAACATTATGTAATATGGAACTGATATCATCATTATTAAATTTTAAGTGGACCTTATTTATATGCAAAATCCAAATTGGGGGGAAATAGAGGTGAGAAAGACATTCCTTCTTTCCATCCTAATATGAAAGGATAATGAACAATGACAAGACTAACAGAATTGTGAGCTGTTTCAGTTTGTCTGTTTTACACAAAATAGGCTTATTTCCAGTTTGGCATCACTAGATACAAACAACCTCCATTATAATACTTTGAAATTCCACAAAAACTCATGATTTTCTCTCATCTATGACACTTAGAGAAGGCTGGAAGTTACAGATGAAATGAAAAGACTGAAATTAGTTCAAACAAATGTCACTATTGCACTCAAATAAAAGAGAGTAGTTATTTTTCAAAATTGAATTTACATTTGCCAAAACATCACTTAGAACAATGACAACCTTTTAAAAACCACTGGCCACAAATATGTATTTTTGGAAACACCTTTTAGGAGACGATTTAAGTTTTTGGTGCCTTAACTTTAGTATGGAATATTCTGTCCAACGTTAATAACAACCAATACAATCAGTAAACAGTGTATATCAAGCTTTCAAACATGAAATATTAATATGTTATGAAAACAGAATAGGATTGTTTCAAGAGTGCACTAGCTGTGGCAAATCAATCCTTTTATACTGCTACTTATTTAATGACAGACATGTCAGTTCTAAAGAAATCCATTCTGAAGTCTTCTCAAAAAGATGTGAGGGAAGAATTGAAGATGGAAAGAGCCTTTGTTCAGAAGTTTGTCTATTGAGTGAACATTCACCTGCTGAGTGAAATAAATGCTTTAATATAACTTGAAAGAAAAATTCTTCCATTCAAACAATGAACTGGAAGTCAGTTGACACATTTCTGAGCAATGGGATTGCAAAGCAACACCATTCTCAAAATAAAAGGCACCCTGAGGAAGCAGAAATGTCCCTCTGAGGGCACTTAAAAACCTTAATAACTGGCTTTTGGTATTCCTTTACACACCAGATGATCTGAAGTGTGTTATTCATCACACTGCCAAAACCGTACTCACATAGCTAAAATCCAGGTTTTGTACTCTTTCAACATATAGCATACTTGTAAAGATTTATTGAAATAGAATTATTTCTGACTGAGAACATGAATACCAAAATTAGTCAACAAGTCCCAGTCTAAATATTCACAAGTAAGAAAGATATTTATTAGCACAACCATGGATACATGATGTACTCAGACAGAACAAGTTACTCAAGAAAATGCATGTTTGTTTTCGTTCTTTCCTTGCTCCAAACACACAATGAAATCCCCCAAACTGATGGCTATTTTCTCTTCTGAATCCACACCCCACTATTATCCAGTACTTGGTCTTTTACTAAAAATGACCACAGATATTTTAAAAAATATGATAATAAGCCTCTAATACATAGAAATCCACTTTCATCATTAAATGAAAAAGGTTCAACCGACTTCATTTGGCATTGGAAGGATACAGCTATTGACTAAGAATCCTCCCTCCACATTTCAAAAAGTGATCTGCTATGAAAAAATTCCACTTTATACAGATCAGTGTCACCCTCTTATTCCAAGTTCCTGCTTCCTCTTTCAGCATTCAAAGTAAAATTGCTTTAAAACACTATAAATACATTTAGATTACAGTAATCTAAAAATATTTCAAAACCTAAACTGCAGCTTTGGAATAACATTGACAACACCTCCCTTCACTCCTAATTGTCATAAATCACTAGAAACCAAACACACTTTTCACTGCCATTGTTTCCTCCCCGCCTTCCCCTGCCAAGCCTTTCTGGATACATGAAATAATGCTTTTAACATATTCTGATATAAAAAGAGTAGACCACTGGAGGGCAGACACCTCACAAGACCATATCCTTACTTGCAGGCAGATCCCCAAATTCTGTAAATTCACCCAAGCTCTATGAATATCAATATTTCTGGCTGTTGACTGAGCTACTTTTAGATCTCCTAGTTTTGCCAAGCCTGGGCAGGAGAGCTTTTCCAGCCACCACAGTATGTGTATGTGCTTTGAGCAGGCAAAGAGAGTTGGAGGAATCATAAATCAAAAAGGAGCCTATAAACTGCAGTCCTGAGAGGATCAGATCTGTGTGTAACTCACCTTTATCTTGTACAACCATGCCCTGATTTCTCTTTCCATTGTCTATTAACATTTTGAAATCATGACTTGAGCAATTTCCTTCCTGCATATTAAATCTGGGACGAAAAATTTAGAGCATTTTATTCAGTTCTGTAACAGAAAAAGTACACAGACACCCCTACATCTCAAAACTTATGGCCATATTGAAACTTCACTATGATTATGACAGAGGCTTCTCTACTTGGATTTAGGAATGTCAAAGACTCTTAAGTAAATGAAATGTGCTGTAAAGCACAGAATACAAGAATTGGGGTTGGAATCAAATGATCTTTAAAGTCCCTTCCAAACCAAACCATTTTATGACTCTATGAACTGAAGTGACACCCACAATTAACTCATTCTATTGAAACAATACAGCAATTTCATACAGAAATAAAAATACTTTAAAACATAACCTGAAGAAAAACTCAACTATTTATAAACCCCAGACTTCCAACTTTTTAAAAACACTCTCTCTATTGAACCTTTATTGATACTCAAGCTACACACAGCCTCAAAATAGTGTTAAGACACTACATTAGATGAATGCATCTCATGACAATAGCATCACAACAAAAGCTTGTATAGTCCAATTTTAGGAAATTTTAAACCACTCATGAGACATGCCCTGAACAATTAAGCAGACACCATCACTTCATGTGCAAAGTAACACAAAGGAACTTTTAAATAAATTATGGTTGCAGTTAGTCCTCTCCAGCTGCAATGGCACACAGCAAGTTTACAAATTAAGCTGTAACAGCCCACGGTGATGCTGTATAACCTGAGCTAGAAAACAAGAATCCCTGTTTCCCAGCACAAGAGCTTCAAACCTTATTTAGAAGCTGAGTAACAAAAGTCTTTCAGCCCACCCTGAGTCTCTGCACTGAAACCACCCAGCAAGGAAAGGAACCACAACAATTCATCTCTCAGCTGAGATGAGGAGCTGCAGATGGGAAATGTGTATCACATCCTTGCTAAATGACAATTTCTAAAGCTCATTTTGCCAACCCTGCAGCTCGAAATTTACAGATCTAAAGTACAGAGGTGACACAGACTGGGGAAGGAACAACTGTAACCCCAGACAGATTATCAAAGCTGTCAGAGATAGATAAAAGTGCTTATTTATTAAGAGTATCCGAGTTAAGTTGTATAAGACTTCATTTTCTAAGTCATACAAACTGTAATCATGTCATGTGCTGTATATTTAATTTCTCTCTGTGCTACCTTTAACAGACATAACCTGAGCTTGCAAAATCTTCCCCTGCAGTCAGCTTGCACACCAGACACTACACCAGCTCAAGTGAGAATCCTTAAAACATGCAAGCAAGCCATAAGGACAGATGATTCCTTCACTGATATTTTATCAAGGTTGGTAGCAGCACACTCCAACACCTGGAACACTTCGAGTCCCACCTACAACATATGCCAAAATCCAAAATGTATGAACTTAAACTGAAGCTGGGATGCACGATGGGTTCTGCTGTCGTATGCAGATGGAAATCCAAATGTTACATTACTGAGGTTAGTGAGTACATATAGGCCAGGAAATGTGGATTGAAATGTTAAAGAGGCTGTCTCATGTCTTTTCATTAGTCCAAAATTTCAAATTAGCAGAGCAGGCCTGACGTAATCTTAACCCTACTGAAACTATTTTCTGATGGTAACTGTACTGTCTAGCACAGAGCAGCTCATTTTCCATCAGCTAGACACAAACTTGAAGAAAATCAATTATTAATTACTCTCTCCTTCAGGAGTACAACACCTGAATAAGAATAAAACCCTAAAACTTTGATAACATCAAAGCCTTTTTTATAATCTCTTTCACTTTAAATTATTTTACTTTGTGTGTCATTGGGACTTCAAGGACAACGATCATAAACTGATATATTGCAAAAAAATCTTTTTATACTACAATCTTGTCAGTTTATCTGTTCTGCTTCTTGTCTCCTTTCCTTCAATCCCTGGTGGTCTGCAAGAAGGAGAACTGGTTGTGGCTGGAATATACCACAGCCTGTTGCCTTCCCATGTCCTCAATGAAATGAGCTGACCTGTGGGAATGGAATTCCTGCAAACACACTTCCTGAACCCCTTTGCTTCAGAGCATCAAAATTTGAGATTTTGGATCATATCAGACCATCATGAACTTGCTCAACATCTCTTCCAAGTGAGTCACAATTTTTTAAGGAACTTAAAATAAAACAAGGTGTTTTGGCTCTTAAATTCTTTTTTCATTAAGTTAAAAAAAAAAAAAGTAAGAAACACAAGTTGAAGATTTTGACAGAAAAAACCCCAAATAATGAGCAATATGTCCTCCTTTAAAAAGGATCTTCCATTTAGAAGCAAAACGCCTGTCATTCCTTTTCCTTATTTAACAAGATTTATTAGTTAAGAATGTGAAACATGCAACACAGGTCTTAAAGTCACCTTAATTCAACATTTTAGATCAAGTGTTCAGATCAAGATCAGCATTTTCTAAAAAGTGTTTTGTCAGTTTGTTGCAATAAGATACCATACCAACACACATGAAAAAAGTCATTTATATCCTTTTTTTTTTTCTTTTTTATATAAAGGATGTACAT